CATGATCTCTCACTCATCTAGGGGAAATAATGAACATACACTGATGTACAAAAACAGACCTGAAGACAGGGAAGCATCGATCAGACTGTCAAACCTCAGAGGGAAGGTAAGGGAGGGTGGGGATGAGGGAGAGAGGTGAACTAAAGGACTTGCATGCATGCATATGGGCCTAGCCAGTGGACACAGACACCAGGGGGTGAGGGCATGAGTGGGGAGGGGTTTGGGATGGGAATGGGGGGATGAGGACAAATATGTGATACCATAATCAATAAAGAAATAAAGAAATAAAAAAACTGACCCAAGGTGAATGCCAGTAATTCTGGATCTGACAGGAGACTTATTTCCCTTCATAACTGTGAATAACTGCTCACACCGTTATATTGGCTGGGCTGCAAAAATATTCCTTGTGGGGCGCATGCAGGCCGCGAATTTGACATGCTGGCCCTACGTGGTGCGGGGTGGGTGGAAAGGAGGTTCTCAAAAGAACAAAACATCTGGAAAGGAAAACACCAGAAGGAACTGTGGGGATTACAGGAGGGAAGGGGGGAACCCTCTTCACTAAGGTCTCTTTATCCCAGTAGCTTTCATGGGTGTTATGACATTTGAGTTTCCTGGTGACTCTTTGCAATACACAGAATATATTTATCCCCCTTACAGATAAAGAAAACCATGACCAGAGATCAAGTGACTTGTAAAGCATCCCATGGATAATTCACAAAAGCCAGGCCATAATCCAGCAGCTTCTCGGTTCAACCTGAGTGCGATTTCTTCTCCACACAGCTGCTTTACTGCTTTGTAATTGTTACAGGATGTACATAAAGAGGGTCCGACAGTTTCCTTCCGTCTTCTAAGGCAGTGGTTATTAAGCACATGCACAAGAGAAGTCAAAATGGCACAGGGGGAGGTGCTGGACCTCAGAGGCCTGTCTGTCTAATGTGGGAAAGGGATCATTTGGCTAGGGGGTGGACCCATCAGAAGCCCGCCAAAGCTTGGGAAGTTGATTGGTTATTTTGAAAAAATTCCTGGTTCTTCCCAAGCCCGAGATGATTAAAAAACAAAACAAAAAAACACAGGGGGGAACAAAGAAGCCCTCTTCCAACCCCTTTCTCTCTCTCTCTCTCTCTCTCTCTCTCTCTCTCTCTCTCTCTCTCTCTTTGCCCCACTAGTAACACAATGGCTACATTCGTTAGCATGTTCTCTATATAAGCAACCATGTGGTCTAGGCCACCTGGGGCCTACAGCAGACCGCACAGGCTCCAAAGCACTGAGCTTCCATAGGAAACAGAATCTCTGGACACTGCCCTATGTATGAGCCTTGATGAAGACAAGGGTGGATTTTTTCTATGGCAGGACAGATGGAGACAGGACATTGGAAACCTATGAGGGGAGCATCACAAACAAATCCCGCCACACCACAGCCTCCCTGCTCCCCTGGAGGTCCTGTGGCACAGCCTGATTTCCACCAACGACACACGCATAAGAAGCAAATTCAAATGGCATCCTGGACTAACACCTATTTACAAAGTACAACTGCCTACTTACAGAGACCATTCCATGGACCGAGACCACCAGACCCTTTTCTCCTCTTGGCCACTCATCCCAATAAAACACATCGCCAGCCAGGGCCTGACTGTGTTCTAGTTCCCTGACACAAAGGGAGAGAAAAAGTCAAGAAAGGGAGAGCAATGCTTCGCTCAGAATGACCACTTCTTCCCGGTTTTCAGATGAGGAAGGTCCTGGAATATTTGATTTGACACTCTTCACAGGGACCCACATTTTAAGAAAAGGCTCCTCTATCCTAGCATCCCATGATCCATCATTTTCCAAAGAACATAGTCGGTTTCGTGTACATTTGGTTAAAAAAAAAAATAAGTAAAGAGAGTTATTTGTCAAATGGACAGTGGGAAATACTTTCTCCCCACCCCCTCCAGCTTCTGACACTCACGGCACACAATAGAGGGGAAACGGCCATAAACATGACTTAATACGTGCCCTTTTGAAGTAGAGTAACTGTCGGACAAGTGACTATAAAAATAACACCGCTGAGGAGATCCAAATTTATATCTGCTTAGTGAATTTCCAGATCAGAATGAACTCAGTTAATCTGTCCAAGTTTTGCTTTTGTGCTGTTTTGTTTGCTTCTAAAATTGCCTTTCTTTTCCTAGATGCTAGCAGATTCCACTTACGACAGAAGAGGACTTGGTGGCCTCACGCACCATCTCTTAGGGAGAGCGCCTGGCTGTCAGACGGCTGCCAGCTTCTCAGGAGAACTCAGGGGGTGGTGGGCACCCGAGCGCCTGCAGAGGTGGGCAGGGCCAGGCAGGGGTTCCCCACAAGCTGTGACGGCCAAGGCCAAGGGCACAGGGGCTGAGCCGGCCTGCTCACAGAAAGGGCCCAGCTCTGCCTGTCCTTGCTTGGGTACTGACCACTTACTCCTTTCTATTCCCCCCTCTTTCTTCTCCCATTCCTCTCCCCCTCCCGCTACCACACGCAGCCAGACACAGGCTCCAGAGCAGCAGACAACTTAACATGTGGTCTTTCGGGCCACAGAGGAGACTCCAGTTTCCTTGTGGAAGAGGGCAAAGAGCCATACTCCATTCCCTGCCTGCCCCAGCCAGCACCCAACCATTCCCACCCGCGGGACAGTCAGTGGCAATTACCGGGGCCAGGGTAGTGCAGATTAGGGCAGGGCAGTCCTCTGGAGACTTAATTAAGGGCCATTAGAAACATTCCAGCAGAGGGAGAGGGAAGCATGCAATGAGGCTTCCTTTTGTGTTGGGTGTGAGTGTGAGTGTGAGTGTGAGTGTGAGTGTGAGTGTGAGTGTGAGCCAGCAAGCGGGGCCTCTGACTCCCAGGCAGTCCGGCAGCAGCTGGCTCACCTCCTTAAAGACTCTGGAGGTGAGAAACACTCAATTTCATTTTGGATCTAACATCGTTCAGAGATTGCTTTTGAGAAGGCCAGACAATTAAATCATTTTACTTTTCACAGTTTATAAAACCCTAGGTCTACAGAAAACATAAATTCTGGCCAATTTAAGTTTAGTGTGATCAGGTTTCCATTTGTATTACATGAGACGATTTCAAAGCAGGGCTCACTGCTCCACCTGCATTTAACGCGGAGCCTGGTGTGTTCACTCCAGAGACACTGGCCCCTGCGGGCAGTGAGGAGCTCACCAGCAGACGAGAACTTCAGGAGAGAGGAGAGGCCATGGAGACGGTGGGATCGGGAAAGCTGGGATCACAGTCCCCAGAGCTGGTGGCAGAGCCAGGATAGCCACAGGGGCCTGGAGACTCCCCGTCTAGTGCTCCTTCCATCACCTCCTTTCCCTTAAATCAAGACCCCAGACATAAGACTGTGACTCCAGGGCAACTTATGAGAGGACACGTCCAGTAGAACAGCCCAAGGCCCGGGAGTTATCAGCTCCTTCAGAGGCCTGGCAGGAATTTCCTGTTCTGTGATCTGGGTCTTGCAAATGGCCACCACCACGCTGAGGCTGTCCCTTCTTCCCCTCCCGCTTAGGGGAACGCCTGCTCTTAGTCACCAGTTGCCTGCAGGGCTCCGGGGACTGGGCCTCGCTCCAAGAATGTCCAAAGGGAGCCAGCATGGGGATCTGCACGGAGAACAAAGCGCAGGCAGCCCGGGGGACAGGGAAAGCCCAGCTCCAGGCCGCTCGGCTCTGGGTCAGCTGTGGCTCTGCCCAGAGGAGGAACAGACAGCAACATGGAGCCCTCTGGATCCAGGGCCATGGGCCTAGTTGTTATCAGAAACCTGGAGGTGCTTCTGTTTTTCCGCTATGTGTTTTTTTTTTCAACTATAAAAGATATATTACACACAAAAACATACATGCCAACACATGCACGGCCATCAAGCACGGAACTAAAGGACTGCAGCACTCGAGGCAATCCCACCCATGACCCCACCACCAGTGCCCCCCCCGACCCCACCCCCGGCCCCCGGCCCCTCCAGAGGTAACCACCATCTGGCTTTTAGGAATCATTATTTCCTATCATTTTTACTATTTGTGTGTGCAGCCCTGAAGATCGCAGTTCAGTTTTGTCCATCAGTGTACTGTTCACTATAGCTACTTCCTGTTTGCTCGCTTTGTTTCTATATAGTATTCAACTGCATGGATATACTTTATTTATCCTTTCTGCTGTCCATGGGCATTTACATTGTTTTCAGTTTTTGGCGACGACAAACAATGCTGCCTGAGTATTCCTGAACACGTCCCCGGGTCCTCAGGTGCTGGAGTTGCTCTGTAACGTACACCTGACAATAATACACTGCATCACGCAGACCACACTCTTCACCTCAATTACGCAACGCCAACCTCTGTTCCGAGCTGCGCTGCCTCTGCCTCCCCATGACACACTGGGAAGCCCACCCGCTTACAGAGGAGCAGCCCCTGGTGACTCAGAGGCCAAGAAAGCCTCCTCCATCACCAGGCTGGCAAGTTAAAGCTCGATCCAAACACCTCCCTCTGTAAGACCAAGCCCAAGATTTATTTATTTTTTAAAAAATATATCTTATTGATATTTTTACAGAGAGGAAGAGAAAGGGATAGAGAGTTAGAAACATCAATGAGAGAGAATCATCCATCAGCTGCCTCTTGCACACCCCCTACTGGGGATGTGCCTGCAACCAAGGTACATGCCCTTGACCGGAATCGAACCTGGGACCTTTCAGTCTGCAGGCTGACTATCCACTGAGCCAAACCGGTTTCGGCAAAGCCCAAGATTTTAAAGTCCCAAGCTTAACCAGAACCAACAACCAAAACGATTGAGCTTTCCAAACTCCCCCAAAAGAATGAGATGGCATCTCCAGTCTGGAGCGTACATACCTGCCCAAACCGTTAACTGTAAGTAATAACCACAAATGGGCCCCTAAGAGATTAAGTGCAGAAAAGACTGCACGCTGATTAATCCCAGGTGGCCACGAGTGGCAGGAGAGGGGGGTAAAGGGTGAGGAGGGGCCCTGAGGCGCCCCAGCCTCCACGCACCTGTACACCGGCTGCATCTCTCTCGCGATGCCAATGATGGCGCCTGGCAGGAAATTGTCAAACTCCTCGAACAATTCCCGGATGTTGGTCTTGTACTTTAGGTCTAGGTCCAGCTGTATTATCTGCAGGATCTCTGGAGGAAAGAAAAAGACAACAATGAGACACAGACACACATCCTGGGAGGCTTGGCTATTTATAGAAAACGAGTGGAAGGTGCAGAACGGGGTCCTGGGTTATTCTTGCTGTCCCTGAAGATGCAAAGTTGGCGTTGGACACAAAGGGCCTTTCTTTGCCAGCAACCCGCTCCGCAAGACCGGAAGTCTCCAGAAACAAATGTCCCCTATCTTTCCTTCCCATTGCAGACACGTTTTATTTTAATCCAGGCGACCATGTGCTCCAGTTAAGGCCTACTGTCCTGGTGCAATTGTCAACAGCGCAGCTTTTCACTCTCAAACACATGTGACATTTTATGGACACCCTACTTAAAACTGAAAGCGTGCAGGTGTTGCTCTTTGGGGCACAGGTGGTATATGACCCACGGGAGAGAGGAGTAAGAACTGTTTTGTCTTAAGCTCTCATAAGTACGTTCTGGAAACCTGAACACGTTATCATGTCAGACAGAGCGAGTCTCACAATGACCTGGCATGGAAGAGCCGTTTGCTTCCGCTGCCTCCAGATAACTCAGGAGCGAGAAGGGAGGCGGAGGAAGGAGAGGGAGCGCGTTGGCCAGGTTCATTCTCGCACCCTTCACCTGACCAAGCCTGTCTGAGCCCCGCGCCTATGCTGTGGGTATCAGGAGGGGAATGGACACCTAACCATGGGTCAAGCCCTCCAGGATCCAGCCCTCAGGGAGAGACATGCAGGGGGCTAAAATCAGGGAGGGAGGGAGGGAGGAACTGATGCTGAATGAAATGGGAGAGGGACTGTGGGAGCTCCAAAGAGGGGGTGCTTGGGGTTAATGATGAAGAGAGATCATAGTTCTTGGTACCAAGGAGAAGGCCTAACGGGGATCAGACCACATGAGCGTAAGGTGCAGCTCTGCTGCTGCTGAATTTTGAAGTTACTTTACTTCTCTAAACCTTAGTATTTCATTGGTTGACGTGGGAACAGTACAATGTGCCTGGTGAGGCTGAGATGCTGAGAAGATGGGACAACGATGGGAAATGTCACCTACACAGGCTGTGGAGGCCACAGGGCCAGGGCTTGGAGAGTGGGAGACCTGCAGAGGGAGGCCCGAGGCAGACTAGGAAAACTTAAGAAAAGAGAGTACATGGGCTGCCCCTTGCTGTGTGGGCAGCATGGAGAGGGGACGCAGCACCACCAGGCATCAGGGCTCCCGCCTGGCTCTTCACCAACCTTTTGGCATCTGCCCCCGGCAGAAGCCCCAGCGGCTTGACGACAGGCTGCCCCCAGACGCCCTCTAAAGACAGCCCCCCCATCTTTGGTGTCTCAGCCTCCATTTACTCAGTACAGGGCTTAGAGTCCCGTAAACACTGAGGAATGTGTGTGGAATTCAAGGGCCAGTCTCTAAATCAGTTTATGAAGAAATCACAGCTTACTATTTAAGAAAAACTGATTCATTTGTTCCTCACTCTATTTTCCTTTGTGATGCAGAAACACGAGTTGACCTTCTATTATACATGAGTTTCCTGAAAAAGAAAAAAAGTTATAGGAGGTGCCCAAATGGCGTGGCTCAGTGGTTGAGCATCGACCTAGGAACCAGTAGGTTATGGTTCAATGCTCAATCAGGGCACATGACCGGGTTGTGGGCTCAATACGTAATGGGGGAGGGGGGTGCAGGAGGCAGCGATCAGTGATGTTTCACTGTCTCATCATTGATGTTTCTATGTCTCTTTCCCCCTCACTGCCTCTCTGAAATCAATAGAAACATATATATATATATATATATATATATATATATATACACACACACACACACATATATATATGTATATTTCAAGTTACAGTAGGTAAGAATCCAGCTGCCCAGGCCAGAGGACAGTGACAGGGCACCAAAAACAGCCTCTCTGGCCCTGTGGGGAGGCATATGCCCCCTCCCCCATAGGCCAATGTGGGCCCTGCTGCCTGCCTGCCCCATATAGAAACGTGAGTGAAACACGGCTTTCCCTCCGGCACTAGAAACAATAACAACCCAGAAACCAGGAAAGGTGATGACCCCACAGCTCCTTGTGTGACCTTGCTGTCTCCCGGAAAGCTGCCCTAAGCCGGCAGTGAGGATGAGCAGCGGGCCACAGGCAGCCTCTCCAGGAGCCTGCTGTTCTCAGACACGGCCCTGGAGGAGCCTGATGGTGACCCTGGGGAAGAACACATCCCAGGAGTCTGTTCAGGAATGAGAACTGTAACCATCAAGACTCCAGAATGGGCCCAGCCGGCGTGGCTCCACGGCTGAGCACGGCCCTTTGCACCAGGAGGTCACGGTTGGATTTCCAGTCAGGGCACACGCCCAGGTTGTCCTCTCCATCCCCAGTGGGGAGCATGAGGCGGCAGCTGATCAATGATTCGCTCTCATCCTGGATGTTTCTATTTCTCTCTCCTCCTCCCATCCTCTCTGACATCAATAAAAATACATTTAAAAAAGAAAAAGAAGCCGAAACTGGTTTGGCTCAATGGTAGTCTGCGGACTGAAGGGTCCCGGGTTCAATTCCGGTCAAGGGCATGTACCTTGGTTGCAGGCATGTCCCCGGTGGGGGGTGTGCAGGAGGCAGTTGGTCGATGTTTCTCATAGACATTTCTAGCTCTCTATCTCTCTCCCTTCTTCTCTGTAAAAAATCAATAAAATATATTAAAAAAAAAAAAAAAAAAAAGAAGCAGCCACAGTGGGAGGCCGCACAGCACACGCCTCCTCCAGCCTATTTCTCTTCTCCCTTTTGGTCCATCTCCTGTGCCCGAAGCTCCCACACGCGGCTCTTACACTGGGGAGTGCAGAGCCTGTCTGAGGCTGGGACAGGGCGGCCCTTCGTCCCAAGCAGAGACACCACATCACTGCAGGTTCTATTGATGAATGGGGTTATAAGAGAGGGCAAACCTCATCCTCTTGGTGCAGAGAGCACTTCTGTAACATCGGGGAAGGCCAGAGAGAAGCACCCTTCCTTTGAGGGCTTTTAAGTGCCCAGCCTTGCACAGGCAATAGTTTATTTCTCATAACCACCCAACATGTTTAGATGAAGAAAAAAAGGGTAAGAACAGTTAAAAACAATAGCCCAAGGTTTACCACAAACTAAGTGCTGGAGCTGGGACCTGAACCTGGGTCTGCTTGACTTCAAAGCCTCACGTGCTCTTTCCACAGACTTTGAGTCTCCTTCTGACGAAGGGAACCCCGGGAGGCAGATTTGGCTCCAAGAGTATACACACAGAGGCCCAGGAGCAGGAAGAAGTGCCAAAGAACAGTCAAGAATCTAAGGCTGGTGGAATGTTCACTAAGTCAGAATCCTGCAAGAAGATAACAAAAAGATAGAACAATCTAGGATAACAGATCTGAAAGATAGCCTTCTATTAATAATAAGAGGTCAATATACCCATTGCACAGATGAGAAAACTGAGGACCAAAGAAGAGGGATTTGTCAGGGGTCATGTATTCTGACAGAACAACGGGCTGACCAAATGTGGAGTTTAAGGGAAGTCCTCCACATGAAAATGGCGATTTCACTTTAATTGAACTCCCAATGGTAGAGACACCATTCAGTCAGTCAGTCAGTCACTCTTCATTGAAAGCCTACACGTGCTTTGTGTATGTTCCGGTCTTTCAAGGTCACCCCACCCTACCTATTCTGCAAGGAGCGGCCGGAATGCCTCCTTCCCCGGCCGGCTTGGACAGGCCCTGGTCAGAGTAGCTACCTGCCTCAGGTCACTGTCACCTGTGTACCTGTGTCACTGCCCTTGCCAGAGAGGATGCTCCTTGAGGGAGGGAATGTGCTGGAAAGCAGAGCTCAGGGCCATCAGGTGTCTCCTGAAGAGACACAGCTCCTTCATTCGGGCAGAGCCAGGCCATGTCCTTCTCAGCCCCTCCATAATCGGAGCACTTTCCCTGATCGTCAGGGACTGGCGGGGAGTGAGCCTGGAAGGTCGTGCAGTCCTAGGACATGGCAATTTGAGATGCTTTCCTGCTTTGTATAGGAAGGGTCTGCTGAAAGCCACTAACCCCTTTTTCAAGAGGGACTTCACCAAACGAGGTCATCTGATTGGGAAGGAATGCAGCAGCGGCTCCAGCGCTCAGTGACCCCTGCACAGCGATGTGAGAAGCCTGACCAGCTGTCACCTTTCAGGCGGATGCAGGAGGACCCGCCCTTCTATTCAGGGAGGCGGACAGCCACAAGCGCAGCCTGCACTGTCGGCAGGCATCTGTCCAGGCTGTTATCCTTTTATGTAATTATGAAATAAGATGCCAAGTTGTAAATGTCACTGCTGAAAAGAGGAAGATGCTTACCAGGAATGCTGAAATTTATTAGATTCTTTTAAAGGGCCCTGTTCCTCTGGCCTCTGGTCCTTCATGTGGTCATCTCCCCGTGGAAACTACAGCTGGGGGTTTAATACATCATGCAGAAAGGCTGTTGTGAGAATGAAACATGACTGACACAGAGAGGATGCTGGGCGGAGGACAACTGCAATGGCAGCCGTAGAACCACTGAAAGTTAAGGAATAAATAAGGGAGATAATTGTCCCCTAGCAAAAAGGAGATGAATAAAGAATATTCGAGAAAAAGGAGGACTCAAAGGAATAGTCAAGCATCGAAGGCTGGTGGAATGTTCACTAAGCCAGAATCCTGCAAGAAGATAACAAAAAGATAGAATAATCTAGGATAACAGATCTGAAAGACAGCCTTATACTAAGAGGCCAATATACCCATTGCACAGATGAGGAAACCGAGGACCAAAGAAGAAGAGGGATTTGTCAAGGGTCAGACAGTCAAGCTAAGTAGCCAAATCGATCTCAGAATTCAGGTATTCTGACTCCCTAGTGAATGCTCTTATGCTAACTAGCTCCCTCTCCCACCACCCACTCCCAATATGGACCCTAAACTCCCAGAGAGAAAAAAACAAACAAAAAACATTGTGTAATGGCCCAAATGGGTCACACTCAAGACTTGCTAGGCACCCAACACAACTAGCTCCTGAA